CGAGAAGTAATTCTTCCAATCTACTCTGCACTGATTAGGCCTCAACTGGAGTCTTGTGTCCAGTTCTGGGCACCACATTTCAGGAAAGATGTGGAAATGTTGGAGAAAGGCCATAGGAGAGCAAGAAAAATCATTTAAGGGCTTGAAAATGAGCTGTGAGGGAAGATTGAAAGAACTGGGTTTGTTTAGTCTGGAGAAGAGAAGACTGGGGTAGCCGGGGCGGGGGAATGACATGATAACATTTTTGAAATACATAAAAGGTTGTTGCAAAAAGGAGGGTGAAATATTGTACTCGTTATCCTCTGAGGATAGGACAAGAAGCAATGGGCTTAAATTGCAGCAAGGCTGGTTTAGGTTGGACACTGGAAAAAACTTCCTACCTGTCAGGCTGGGTAAATACTGGAACAAATTGCCCAGGGAGGTTGTGGAGCCTCCATTGTTGGAGGTTTTTAGGAACAGGTCAGACAAATACCTGTCAGGGATGGACTAGTTATTACTTAGTCCAGCCTCACAGCAGGAGATGGGACTAGGTGACCTCTCGAGGTCTCTCCCTGTCACATATGTCTATGATTTTATGGTTGTCAGAGGCTAAAACCAAAGTCAGGAATTAGAGCCCAGGTTTAGGAACAGGTTACCTGGAGAGAGGACAGCCTGGGTCCAGGACAGGAGCCGGGCTGGAGCCAGACAGGAGCCGAGCTGGACCGAGACGGGAACAAGGCAGGAGCAGGGCTGGAACAATCCGACACAACCGCTATCACAGCCCTGGGGAAATACTTTGGGCAATGGCTGAAGTTCTGCTGGGTTCTGAGCCGGTCTGCTGACTCTGCCCAGCAATCAGGGCGGAGCCGATCAGGCAGCTACAGGCCGGGTGCGCGCGTCAGGTCGCCTGGGACTGGCTCTGCTGCCAGCCCTGATTCCTCACCGTGCCCAACGATCAATCAGAGATAATCAGGAATGATTACTTGTTAATAATCAACCACCCGTCATCACTAATTAACGAGTTCCCATCAGAGTTGCTACGGCAGTGATCAATAAATGAATCAACAGTCTATTATCAATTCCAATCATTTATCACTGAGAAATCAGTAATCAGGGATTGGCTGTCTCTAGTGATCTGTAATTAATGCTGAATAGCCATTAATCTGCAATTAATTATCAATAATCAACACTCACAGATCAGTAATTCATGTTAAACAATCAAGGATCAAGCACCAACCATCAATAAGGTGCTAGTAATTATCAACTGATAATAATCACTTATCAATAATCAGCAATTAATGATCAACGACCAAAAATGAATGATCCCTAATTAAGAAGCCAGCAGGACAGGCTAGATGGTCCCAACGGTCCCTTCTGGCCTTGCTCTCCCAGCGTAGGATGTTGGGTGTGAGCCCAACGCCGGGTCCAATGGCTGAACCTCTTTGCTCTCTGTGTCCCACAGGTGCGGTGAGTGCCCGGCTCCGGGCTCCTAGGAGGTGGCCAGCACTGCTTCGTCCTCTTCATTCCCTCCCTCCACCTTCAGCCCTCCCGGGCTCCTGCCCTCTCTCCGGACACCTGGAAGGACCATGTTCCACGGCAGCTCAGAGGGCGCGACAACGGCCGCTGAAGGGTCTGAGCTCCGCAGAGCCCAGAGCAGGGAGGGCAGAGTCCTTCCCCGGACATCCCTAGGGGGCAGCCCACGCTGCAGCTTGAACTCAGCCCCGTGCCCCTCAATCCTCCACCCCCATTCCATAGCAGGGACTGGATTTCCTTGTGTGTGTGTGTGTGTGCACATCTGTGTCCCAAGCTCTGGTCAACCTGGACTCTGGTGAAGGAGAAGGGTCTCATTGGCTCCTTTCTTTAACTTGCAACTTACACAGGAATTTTGTGTTTGATCCAAAATAAAATGAGTTCAAAATTGGTAGCTGCATTTTAGGGTGGTTTTGGGGGATTTAACCAAGGAGAACGCTACCCAGTGTATGTCTAAGTGCCCCGGTATCTATCTATGCATCCGTCCATCCTCATAGATACACATCCATTTCTTTCTTTCTTTCTTTCTTACACATGCCTCCCTATCTGATCAGTGGCTTTCCCTGCCCCAGAGATCTCCCCTTCCTGCCCCTCTGTCCCAGCCTGTATAGGCTGAGGGACGAAGCCCCAGCTCTCTGGATTTGTAGCTAGGCCCCCATCTCCCAAAGGGGCCAGTTCAGCGGGTGCCCGTCATTTTATTCTCCATGCCCGGAGGCTCCCCCTACAGACAGGACATGCCCCTCTGGAGGGCGTCAGGGGTCCCTGAAAGTCAGAGATGGAGGTTATGAATGAGATGGAGCCTGATTTGTATATTTATTATTTATTTATTGTCACTCAGTGCACACAACAAAAGTCACACACACACACCACCCACAAAAATCCCAACGAAGAGCTAAATATGCAACATACAGCATGACAGACACCACTCTGGCTATGGTCCTGCCCCAGGGCAGGGGGCTGGCTGGCGCAGGGGGTGGGGAAGAGACATGGGGCCTTTCCCCTCTATGGGACGCTGGCTCTGATCCAGTCCCAGAGCAGGGACTGTTGGGCTCAGGAGGGTGGGAATTGGGAGAGGGGTTGTTTTCTCACTAGGGGTACTGGTTTCCTGCATGATATGAGTTGTCCGGTCTCAGCCAAGCTCCCCGCAGGGCAGCGTCCCCAGTGGCTGCGGGCTGATTAGGCCACGTGAGGTGAGGTCCTGTCTCCCCCCAGGGGGGTCTCCCAGGGGCACAGCGCTAGTGGGGGCAGCTGTGGGACTCAGGGTGGTGTCGCCAATGGAGCCGGGAGTCCTGGCCCCTTGTCTCCGGGGGGATGGGGGCAGTGGCCCCTACACCACGCCCTGGATCACGTTCTTGTACTCGGGGCCACTCGCCTCCTTCAGCTGCACCATGGCAGAGAAAAGCCACTTCACCTGCAGGGGACAGAGAGAGCAAAGGTGAGAGGGGTCAGCGCTGGGGGGGAGTTACTCTGTCTGTCTGTGTCATTCCTTCCTGTTTTTATGCCTGTGTCTCATTCATTCAGTCTCTGCCTTATTCACCCATTCTTCCTTCTCCTTCCTTCTCTTCTTCTTTCTTTCCCTTCCATGCTGCCCTCTGTGACGTTACTGACAGAAACTGTGACTGTACAGATCATTGTCGCAACCACTGTTCTATATTTGCAGCAAATATTGTACAAAGGTTGTGGAGTGAGGTGTCTATGACAAGGTGATGATTTGCTGGTTATGATTGTGCTGTCTGTACGTGTGTATCATTTTTGTAGTTGAAGTTATGAATATTGGCTCTGTACTTGTACCTCAATGTGTTTTGATTCTAAGTAGCCTCAGTGAAGCATTTGGTCAGTTTCTTGAGAAAGGACTATTTTCTGTAAGTGCCCAATCAAGAAACACTTAACTGACAATCAGGGCTGGCCTTAGCATGAGGCGAAGTGAGGCGTCTGCCTCAGGTGCCAGGCTGTGGGGGGGGCACCACTAGGACCCAGAGTGTAGAAAATTGTGTCTGCTGCTGGTACATATGTATTCTCTCTGCTGTAGATGCACAGCGATGGTGGAGTGCTGTGCTGGAGGAAGGAGGGCACAAGAGACATAACAGGCAGGCAGGAGAAAAGGTGAGAGGGGATAACAGAAAGCAACAGGAGCTGCAGGGAGAGAGAGGAGGAGGAGGAGCCTCTTATGTACCTCTCCAGCACCCCCAGGAGCCTGGACTGATTCACACCAGCTTCTCAGGGACCTTCCTGTTTCCTGCTGCTTCCCTCAACCCACTTGAGGAGAACAGGCAGTCAGCTGAAGTAGTAGGAGCCAGTTAGGCCCTTAAGACGCTGATACTTTCCCTCACTCAGGCCCTGCTACCAGCCTGCTTATTTGTCCCCTTCAATTGAGTGCTGAGAGCCACTCTAGCTGGCACAGAACATCAGTCATGAGTGAAAGAAGAAAACGCCCG